GGTGATAAAATAACACTTTGGCTCAGCACTAGGCAGAAATTTTCATCCTTCTGTGAACTGGCAGCCCCTGTAGTACTGTGCATGCAACTGTACCTGGCATAGAGAATAATGGCTTTTTCTTGCACTGAACAGTAGCTGGGAAGGCAAAATTCGCAAAATCACTAGTTGCTACAAACAACAAGAAGTTTTTTTTTCAGACTTTTTGATAAATAAATTAAACAGTTCTGCATTCTGCTGTGCTAATTATTATATTCTTGCATTCATTTAAATCTTAAATATACTGCAGACACTTTGAATATATATTTTACAAAATGTAACATATTTTAAGTTAAATATTTTTTTAGCTACAAAGAGTAATCTGTCTATGAACTTTCAGATGACTTCCAAACGATGCTTTTAGTCTGAATCAACACACACAGTTTGACTCCAAGCAAGGTTATGGACAGGTGTTGGCACTTTTCCAGAGAGAAAGACATCTTTCAGGACACATAGGGGAAAAAGAGGCAAAACATGTGCACTTTCCAATTTGTCACAGTGTCCTGACAGTTAATTCAGTTAGATCCAGGTGGTTAATAGGGGTCCTGTAGCAAGGGATTCTGCCACTATATGAAAACTGTGGAGACCTGACACATATCTTGAATCAAAATGATTTTAATAATAAAATCGGAGGACCGTGCCAGCTGCAGCCACTTCGACTGACTGTTGGTATGTGTAGTCATTTTGGTCAAGAGCGTATTTCTTATTCCTGTCATTTGATGTGTTAATTTAAGTTAACAATTATAACTAAACACAAATAAGATGAGATTTTAGAGTCATATCTGAGATGAAATTAAGTAAATGCTATATTGTTATGTAAGTATTTCCCCACAGAAAATAGTCAGAAATGCAAACTACACATTTTTTTTAATTCTCCCGAATATAGATTTGCATATTAAGTCTCCTTAGGATCATACATCATAATGGACAGTCACCTGGATTCCTCAGACCAATCTACATAAGAATATTCAAAAACATCAAACTAATGAATTGAAAACTTTCCTGAACTGAATAATCTAAAATGTGGAGGCTGTGGAGATAAAAAATTATAGGTTTCTTGTGAGATTTCTGGGGTGTGTATTTGCATGCTTTCAGGAAGTCCCAATGACAGAACATGTTTAAATTTCAACTACAGGGATCACTTGCTTTTCATTGCCTAGAAACCTGTCTGAAGCTGGATCCATGCTCAGACTCCAATTGATAAGCTGCCTGTTGCTAGGGCTCGGAAAAGGGGCACTATTTAGAACAGTAGTATCAGTCCTGCCATTAAGACTTTAGCACTTTTGCAGCCAAATTGGGATAACATCTATTTAATATTTGTTACCTGTTCTTATTCACATTGCATAAATAAAAAAAATAAAAAAATGCTTACATTTTACTAGCTCTTTTCTAATAAGTTCAAAACTGAATTTTTCCTTGATTATGCAATGTTAAGGAGAGGGTTAATGTTTACCATAAATAACCCTGCCTGTACTGTGCTGCCAGATCTCATTATCATTTGTAAATTAGATTTAAACACTGTCTGTCCTAAGAAAGGGTTAAAGATCAAGAAGCTTGGCTTCTTGTATTGTATTATAATGCACCATATCAGGTCACATGCCCTTGACACTGCAAGGGTGCTATTCTGGGATGGGGGGACCCCCTGGGGTCCCCTTTAAAATTTCATATCAGACCCTTAATCTGAGCAGTGGCCTGGCAGGCAGGAAAGGGGTGTTAGCAAGCACCCCCTCTGCACCATACCAGGCCACATGCCCTTGACATTGGGAGGGTGATTTTTCTGGGGGGCACCCCCTGGAAAAACACCTTGTGCCCATGCTGATGAGGACAAGGGCCTCTTACCCACAACCTTTGCCCAGTGGTTGTGGAGGTCTGTGGGCAGGGGTTTCATCTGCATCTGGGTGTAACGACCAGACCCCACAGGTCTGTTATGGTAGAGGATCACAGCTGCAGAAGTATGAAGCAGGGGTGAAATACTATGCCACAGAATTTTAATAGTGTTGATGGTGGAAGTGAATTGGAAATACTGGAGCTAAAGTTAAGCTGAGGGTTTTATTCAGGGGAGCAGTCCTTGATTGGTGGGTTTATGGAATGCAACAGTCAGGATTGTTAGCAGGTTATCTTGATACACAGTCCTATAGTGATGAAGGCATATGTGAAAACAATGTCTTTGAAATGACTACTTGCTGTTTCTGTGGAGAGGAATGGCAGGAGTAAGTTGGTGCCCTCCAGTGGTTAGTTAGTGGAACTGCAGTCCGGCTGAGATGTCCTTGCTGAATGCTCAGGATAGAGTGGTGGAAGGAGACTGACACCCACAGAGGAGGGAGGTCGGGTATTGCTGGGATGGCGGTTTTGGAGGGCTCTGGCCGGCCCAAAAGCAGCAGAGGTTCGGTGGGTTGAGACGGGGAACTTGCCTGGCGTCTTCACACTTGCTCGAACGCCAGGCAAGTGTAACCGTCGGCTTTAAGAAGTGAGTGTGGGAGGAGTTTCGTGACGTCGCGGCTGACGTCACGAAGTTCCGACGGCGATTCTGGCCGCGCTGGAACGAGGATCAGGTGAGTCAGCGGTTGAGTCCGTTACACTGGGTGCCCCCTTTCAATAAGGGGGCACCTAGACGCTGCCCCAACCTTGTGAATGGGTGCGCCAAAGGCATATGCTTTGGCTCAACTGAACTGAAGTGACTGCTGAAGGGCGGCCGTTTGCCCAGCAAATGACAGCTGGGCGGAGCCAGCAGTGATCTCACAGCTCGCTCCGCCCAGTTGTAATAACAGATTACCGTCCCCAAAAGGACCCGGGGATGCTGATCTGTCATTAAACAACAACAACTGGGCGCAGCTGGCTGTGTTATACATTGGCCGGGACTTGCTAGAAGACTCTAGGTGCCAGCCAATAAGAAACAGTTGGGTGGAGCCAGCTGTCACCGCTAGCTCTGCCCAATTGTTTTTTTTTCTTTTAGTTTTTTTAAATTTTACTATTTGTTTACATTTTTAAAAATATTTTTTCAACTATAATTTTTTTTCATTAATTTAACTGTTTTGTTATTCAGCTCGGTACCACGGAGGTACCGAACAGAATAGCCAAGCCGAATGTTGGAAAACCTTGTGAAAAAATCCTCCCCTCCTATTAGTTATGGGTAAAAGTAGCTCTAGTTTTATTCGTGGAAGACACGTGCTGCCTCTTGTGAAGAAGACTTTAAAGACCTGGTTAGATCAGGGTGCACCCATTGTGCAAAAGTAGAAGTCACTATTAGGTGGCAGAGAACAGTAGAGAGCTTGCAATCATTAGCTTCAGACATTAGCTTCAGACATAATTCAGAATCTAAGGAGGGACAAGCCAAGTTGCGCCGCTGCAGGTTGTCTAGGAAAAAGATCTATGGATGGGTGGAAAGCTGAGCTCATTTACCTGTTAAAAACACCTATCAAGAGAAAGGAGAGAGATCATCCAAATTGAAAAGTAACTCCGCTGTACCAAGACTTTTAAAACAAGCACCTAAAGCACCTGCCTCTATGAGAACTAAAGAACTTAGAGATCAGAGGCATCAAAGCAGAGACATACTCCTATAACAGTTATCTGCAGATAAAGCTTTAATTTGCTTTCACATACAAAAAGCCTTTAAATTGTTGGGACCAACACTGACATGATGAGATGAATGTTAGCTTCAATAGCAGACCACTGTACCAGTGTCTAATATCTCCAACCTTATACACGACATACCATGATGGGGATTTCCATTGCCCACTTTTCATGTTAGGAACATTCACAAGATAAATTTGGTTACTAAATTAGTTTACCAAATCTGGAAACTACAAATTAATTGTTTCTTTCAGGACCAAAGACTTTCATTGGGGGGAGTGTGTAGCCCTGGCTGGCGGCCCCTTTAAGCCATGGGAACCTCACAGCCTGGGCCTCCTCACAGTCACACCACAGCTTTCCTCTCCCTTGACTATTGATTGACAGGCCAGCAGAGAAAAGGAGCAACATGATTGGCTGCAACAGCAGTCTCAGACTGAAGCCCTGCCCACAGCTTCAGCTGTGGCCTGGAATTTAAGCCTGGAAAAGAAGGGCATATTGGTGTGGAGCCAGGTTATATACATTCTGTATATAAGGAGACAAATAGCCCCAGGGACCTATTAAGCTATAAGGGAACCATTAGACCTCAGAGAGGCTCTGGATCACCTGGAAAAGAAGGTGGAGATAAGAGGGGCAGCCAAGTTTTAACATGTTTACTATTGTTGCGACCTTGCTGCTTCTAGCTGAACTATATTTAAAGGGGACCCCATCATCCTTTCACCTTGAGCTACTTAAGGACACTTTGTGGGCATTTCCTCAAGCCTTTGATTACAAATACCCACATTGCGTTAAAGGGCCCCACTGCCAGCAGACTTTACGCACATAATATCATGGGTCAGTGGTTAGTCAGGGCCATGGATTGTAGTTAGCACAGCGCTGAAGCGGGGGGCGGAGGAGGGAGCGCTGTCATGTTGGATGGCCAAGCGGTGAGAAGAGAAGCCGTAAGCTGTAGCCACCCCGAGGACGAGCTGTGCCGGCCACCTGGCGCCCTTGTTGCCATGGTGCCCTGTGCGGCCGCACAGCTCGAACACCCCAAAGGCCGGCCCTGTATGTGCATTTTTACATGACAATGTGCTTCCTTATAGTCTATTTGCTTTATTTTTGTTACAGTATGAGTTGCATTTATGTAGTCACTGCAATAAAGTCACAGAAAACCAACTGTTGTTCACATAGCATGAAGAAACCCACTTCTATTACAATAACATGTGAGTAATAAATAATCTGACATTAAAAATGAGCACACACCATTTTCTACCAGATGAAATACATTATGTAGGCTTTTTAATAAACAGTAATTTATGTTTTATGTAAATGCATATTTGATGACAGATGGCGTTGTATAATAAATCTTTCAGGGAAAACAGAATTATATTGGTAAGTGGTAAATTAATTCTTACCTGACGATGTTTTGACAATATCTGTTGTGTTCCTGAGGCCCATAAAGTCAAACTGGTAAAGTCTCCAAGATTTCTGATTTGTAGCTTCCACTGAGTTTTTTCTCCATCTGTATATCATTTCCTCCTGTGGGTAACCATCTGTTAACAAACAAAGATCTTATCTTTATTAGTCAAGTGAAGCACAATGTATTGCTTTGTCCTTGTAAAACATTGTCTAACAGAGTGCTGTGTCTACTATTTAGAGGGAAAGTATAATGGGTTTTGGTCAGTTTGCTTTTGTTTTGTATGTTTAGAAGTTTATCAATAATTTTAGCTTTACTTATTTATTTATTTATAGTAAAACATTATTTTGAAAGCAATTTTTCAGCCTGGAGTAAACCCTTAACACTCCATCTATCTGCTCTACTTGTTTATTTTATATCACAGATATGACTTGAACTTGCAAAAAACTGCTACAATTGTTATAGTAAATATAAAACAAATTGTAAAATATCACATAATATCACATTTACCTGATCAAAAAGCACATGAAAACATGTTTAATCATGGTTTTAGCATATATAAATATATGTTTAGCATATACTGTAAATAATAAAAAAAAACTGTACTAAACTATACATTAAGGGGGAACTCTGCATTCAACCATGGCCATGCTGTGAAAACATGTTATAGTAAAAATGTATTCAAATGAGCCCCCAGAATACCTCCATTAATTTCCAGCATATGAGATGTGGCTGCTAACTGAAGATATGAAGGCAACAAGTTAAGTGTACTCTAAGAATCCCAGAACCTCTGGGATTTTGTTTTGTATTGTGGAAGCAAATTATAATATCTAGTGCAATGGAAAAATCTGTACATCTGCAGGGAGTTAGGGGATGACAAATTGTAATCTTTTCTATTTTTGTTTGACTTGAGTTGCTTGCTGCAACAGACAGGCTGCATCTCAATTATTGTTAGTGCAGTGTGGACCCCAACAGTGGTTTCAGAAACTGAAAGTTGGTATTTCTCTGGAGGGACAGTTAAATGTAGAGCAAGATAATAATCTGAATTTGTGGTGGATCATTTGCTCTAATTTGTGTTGACAACTGACTTGTTCACTCAGGTCCCAGTCATTGCAAAATGTGTGTAGCAGACCCCCAGGAAGCCTGTAATCATACAAAAGGGATCCAATGGGGGCTAGAGGGTGAGAATCGCTACCACTTCTTTATTAGTTCAGTGATGTCATAGGGCATTGGATTCTTGCCCAATAACCCCCTTCAAAATCAGAATTCACATTAGCTCTTACTGGATCTTACTGGATAACTGGATGCAGAAGAAATGTACCTGTGCTGTCAGTAAGTGTGGGTTTTCTCTATGGGGCCTGTCTTACCCATAGTGAATGTATTAGTGGTCCTTTGAACCACTATTAACATGTTCTCTAATATGTCAGTCTAATTGAATATTTGCTCAGTAGAAGAGGGAATGGAATCACTAGCAGACCTGATTTTCAATTACTCATTGATATTGTTATTATAATTATTATTATTACAGATTTATATAGAACCAACAGTTTGCACAGTGCTTTACAATATAAAGGGAGACAAGACAGTTACATTACAATTCAAGACAAAAAAGCTAGAAGGTCACTCCTTATGACAGTGTAAGAGTCCAGGGCTTACTACGCATGCGAAAATGGCGCGTTGCCTCAAGAGGAAATCCGCGCCAACTGCGCATGCGCCAAAGACGCGTCAGTGCGCAACCCGTGCATGTGCAGAAGACCTGATGGAAAAAGGCAGGAAAATGCCCAGGAGGCGCACAGGAAGTGACCTCTACCTGATGGAAAAAGGTGGGAAAATGCCCAGGAGGCGCACAGGAAGTGACCTCAAACATCACTTCCCTATATAAGCCCAGCCCAGACACTGCCAAATTGCTGGATTAGCTTCAGTCCCTCCTTGTTCCTGTGCTAGTGTGTGATCTGTCTGAACTTGTTGTGACCTGGAAACCTATTTGACTACTCTTGATTGCCATTGACCTCAGATTTGTACCTTGACCTTTCTACTCCTTTGCCCCTTTTGTACTCAGCTGCCAGATTGGAGCCAACTCCAGCTTGGATCTCGACCATTCTTCTGATTAACCCTTGTGTACTTCGTTGCCAGAGTGGACTTGACCTCGGCTCGGATCTCAGACTAAGGCTTGGATGGTGCTCCGCACCCCTGGCACCCGTGCCACTCGGTGTCCGCTGAAATCTCTGTCTCCATCTCCAGAGACTTCAAGGACCAGAGGTGCAAGGGAGGCCTCCCCACTACTTCGGTCTCACCTCAGGTACGTGGCCCCCGTGACAGACAGCCTACAATCTAAAAGGGAGTGGCAAGTGATAAAAAGATAAATGTGTGGGAATGAGTTAATAGAAAAACCAAGAAAAAGTCCTGTTATTAGACTGAGACAGAATAGGCTTCTCTGAAGAGATGAGTTTTCAGCCAAATGCAGCTCTTTATTTTGCAAAAGTGGTATTTTTAGAATGGGAGGGAAGATTATTGTGCCTTTATATGAATTGTTCATTGTAAAATTAGCATTATGCAAAATTACCATAAAGCTGCAGATTTCATTGCATCATCATTGCTTTTAGCTTTATTAAGGCATCTTGACACATTAGTTGCAAAGCCACAAATTAAGAATAATGCTTCCAGAACTTTTCAAGCTGAAATAGGGCCTCCCTTCTTTAGCAGTTGGGGTGCTTACACATCTGGAGTTCTGAATAGAGATTAAACCGTACCTTTACACTCAGAAATGAAATTCTACCAATGCATCCCTCTATGCATGATGATTAATAATAACATAGACATGTCAGGTGTAAAATGCTGTGATTTTGAAATACTTACACTTGCAGGACATTTACATCCTGCTTTGAAAGAGCAAAATGACTTCAGTTTGCCAAAGCAATGCACACTAACGATTGCCTTGTCATCAGCAGAGCATTGCTAGGAAAACTCATCTGTAATCTCACAAGATCTCAGGGAAAGGCATTTTCCTCCCCTGAGATGATGTGCATGGTCATATGTCTAGTCACATGTGCCAGAAATCCAGGAAGTAAAAGGAGAGCCATTAATCTGCCCTTGGTAAACATGGCCACTATCAGAAGACTGGGAAGAAAAAATAAATAAGGTATGCAAAGAATACAAAGCCGGCAATTATCTAGAAGTATGTATTTGTAGATGGTCATTACTAAATATTTATAAAGGTGTATTTGTTATTTTAAAGATGTGCAAAGAATACGAAGCCGGCAATTATCTAGAAGTATGTATTTGTAGATGGTCATTACTAAATATTTATAAAGGTGTATTTGTTATTTTAAAGATGTGGGTAAAGGTCAGTTTTAATGGCTCAGTGGTACCTGTTTAACCTCTTTTTTTTCTGCTCGCGCGCGCCACCTAGCGGGCACGCACGGGCAGAAAAGACCCGTCAAATGCGAACACCCGGTACCGGGTGTTTCACATATAGGCGATCAGCGGGTCCATAGCCCGCCGATCGCCTATATGTGCTCGTTAGGGAAGGGGGTTTAACACCGCGGATGTCAACTGGTTAATGGGTAAAGCATAATAACTAAAGCTTGAAAATCACCTAAAATTCCCCATTCTCATCAGAACAAATAATCTCTGCTTATATTCAGATATTCATGTCCTAGAACATATAGACATGGTAAAACTTTATTACTCCAATTTTAACCCTTACTAGGACCCAAGTTTTTATTGTTTCTTTGTTTACTGATTTTTAAAATGTGCATTTCACTATTTCTTTGCATCGAGGTGGAGGTAGCAATTTATCCACAATCACTGGGTAGGGGAGCAGTACATACACCACCTCATTCCCTGAATCTACCTTTAGGACACTAAAAGTGTGGAAAATGTTTTTTTTTGTAGCTCTCTTCTTTTTATGCTCTTAAATAATAATAGCTCCACATTAGCCAAAACATTTTATGTGAAGAGGGGGAGTTCTTTGATTAATTTTTATTAGTGTCTGTTTCTCCACTGGGAAGATGTCTGTTCACTTCCTGCCCCTGTGTACAGGCAGGAAATGAAGGACATTAACCTGGCCACTACAACAAATGAAAAAAGAAAGTGAAAAGGAAAAATATAAGTTATAGGCTGTTACTTAGCTAAGTTAACTTTCACTTTGCAAGAGAATTTTCAATTAGCTAAGTGAATCAGGTGAAGTAGTGCTGACTTCAATTATCCAATCATGTGCTAGCAAAAATCAATTTTTTACATTTTTTTGGGCATGATTGGATATTCTTTGTAAATTGAATTTCCCCTTGTACAATGAACATAGGCTACTCCTTTAGTAAATCAGTGCAATTGCATATATACAGATATTGTCTGCTGTAAAAATGCAATATTAAGTGAGAACAAAATAAAACATTATACAAACCAACATGATCAAAGTAATAGTAAACTATTAAATTAAAATTTAATTCATGAATTTCATCCTGAATGGGAATTTAAGGCAGTAAGTGAAATGAGTCAGTGAGATGCTAATGTTATTTAACAAACAGTGCAAGTGTGTTAAATTCAGAAAGTTCCCCTAATTTATCTTTATGCTTGGACAATCAGACTTTGCTTATACAAAATGTGAACAAGCTACTCTTATTTGTAGTTGGTTGGTAGACCTAATCCAGTGATACCAATGTTATAACACTTAGTGGAGTTACATTATATAAGCACAGAAAAGGTGATGCTGTAGGCAAATATGATTACAGTGCATTAGAACCATTACTCAGGAACCTAATAACCAGTCAATTTTTTATTTATTGTGCAAAAGGCCTTTTTTATTTTTTTTCTCTAACACTGAGTAAGAAAACCAATTGCTGGCCAAGGTCATATACATTTTTTTTTGGGGGGGGGGGTTATTATGTGTTTTGAAAAATGTGCCAGGGCTCTTGATGAATAAAGGCCATGACACACTGCAGGCGAAGCGGTGGCGCGCTGCCTTTGTGAGCAGTGTGTCATGTCATTTTCTCCTGGGCACCTCAGCTGGCGATAGCTCGCGGAGCTGAGCGTGCCGAGATCAACAATTTCAACTTCAGCCAATTGGTGCATTTTTTCTAATAATTTTGATATTGTGCAACATACCATTTTTTTAACTAGCATTGTTTTATTCTGCAG